TATCCAACACCCCTCTCACCTTGGGGAGGGATCTCCCTCCTCCTGGACCCTCTGCTCCTCAGTGGGTGCTGCTCTGAGGAAGCAGAGGAGAGTGTGGGAGAAGATAAAAGAGAAAAATTAAACCCTTCCTGAAAGTTTCATCAAAGGCCTGTTTGTGGAGCCGAGGGGGACGCTGGAATGCTGGAATGCTGCCTTACCTTCACACAAACTTCATCCCTAAACCCCACCTCATTATTTCCCAGCATCATCCCCGACTTTGGCAGCTCAGAGAGAGACGAGCTCATGATTTGCTTTCTTCTGTGCCTGATCAAAACACCAAACATGGGTGTTTATGTCCCTCACATCACCATGAGTCTTTGTGCAGGAAATTTAACTTTGCTTGAGGGGGAAAAATAGTAATAAATAGTAATATTAGTCCTGTGATCCCTTCCCTATTCAGGACATGAAGCTTCTCAGACATTTCAGTCTCTGAAAACGTTGAACGAAAAGCCTGAGATCAAATAACTCCAACAGGAGCCCTTTGGATGTTCTGAAAGCTGCACATGGCTGCTGCCATCATTAAATTGAGCCAGGATTTGATTAATGTCTTGGGAACAGGGATCCACTCCCCTTCCTTTCACACAGTTTGAAAAGACTGTGGTTACCTTTGGATTTTTAAGAAGAAGTAATTTTGTTTACTCACAGGGAGTAAAATTGCAGAATCTTATTCCACGTGGGGCCGTTTCTGTGACATCAGTGGCTGGAACCTGATGGCCAGACACCCCAAAACATGGCCAGACACCCCACAACCACGGCCAGGCATCCCAAAACCATGACCAGACACCCAAAACCATGGCCAGGCATCCCAAAAACATGGCCAGGCATCCCAAAACCATGGCCAGACACCCCAAAACCATGGCCAGGCATCCCAAAACTATGGCCAGACACCCCAAAACAACAGCCAGGCATCCCAAAACCATGACCAGGCATCCCAAAACCATGGCCAGACACTGCAAAACCATGGCCGGACACCCCAAACCCACGGCCAGGCATCCCAAACAGCCTGAGAGAGTTACAGATGTATCCACAAATCATGGAATCATGGAATGGTTTAGGTTGGAAGGGACCTTAAAGCCCATCCAGTGCCACCCCCTGCCCTGGGCAGGGACACCTTCCACTAGCCCAGGTCCAACCTGGCCTTGGACATTCCAGGGCTGGGAAGCCTCTGGGCTCTCTGGATTTGCTGACTGTCATTCCTGCTGGCATTCCAAGCCTGCCTTGGGCAGTGGTTCCCAAACTCTGTGCTCTGAACATTTGTTCCTCCCCAAACTTTTGATTTCCTTTCTGGAAGAGCAGTTGTCAGGCTGGGCTTGTTTTGGTTTCCAAAAGCTGCTGCCAGAAGAACTTTCCCATTCCGTTTGATTGGAGTATAAATATGGATGTGTTCTGTCCTAAATATTTCATGGGCAAAAGCTGTATTTTTTAATCCTCACCTTAGTGGCACAGCAGTTCTTCCCCCCACCACCACTTCCCGGGGGTTTTGCACTGCTGGAAGTGCTAAAAGCACTTTGCTGAGCCCCTGCTCCCCTGGGACAGGGCCTTCCACAGGGAAACAGCCCTGGGACAGCTGGAGAGGGAATGTGAGAATGGATCTTTTATAACCCAAGTCCCTGCTTGTTTCCTTCCTGTCTTCACCTGGCAAAGTCTCTCCTTTTCCCTGGATGCTGAGTGTTCCTAGGGAACAGCAGGGGATGAAACCCTCCCCTTTCATGTTCATTCCACGGGGCAGGACCTTGAATGACCCGAGCTTGTGCTCTCCCTGGATGCCAGAAGAGCTGTCAGGGAGGCCCAGCATCCCTGTGTATTATCCCTGAGTGCAGGAAAAGGGAAATCCTGGATTTGGATGGCACTTTGGAAGTGAGAGATGCCAGGGAGCTGGATTGATCCCTGTCCTTTCCTGGAGCAGTGGGCACCTGGAGGTGCTGCTGGCAGGGATCTGCACTTCCCCAGGAGTTTCTCATTCAGCCTCCTTGGGGAGCTTCCCAAAGCTGCTGGAGAAGAATCCAGGCCTGGGGATTCCCATCCCAACACCCTTCCTACCTGTGTTAACCCGGCCCAGGGCTGTGCTCTGGTTTGTGTGCCTAGAATGGAGCTTGGCAGTGGGAAGGGCTGGATCCCCCTTTTCTCTGGGGTTGGGCTCTCTCCCCTGGTGCCTGGTGGCCTGGCTTGCTCCATGTGGATTGATGGTGTACCTGGAATGCTCACAGGAGGAAAACCCCCCTGGGGAAGCAGCACCCACATCCTGTGGTGCTCCAGGAGGATGCACAGACACCCAGGCTTGGTGGGACCTTCCCACCACAACATGGGATCCAGACAGTGGATTCTGAGAAAACTGTTTCTGCTGGGGAAAGCATGGACTTCTCAAACTTCCCTTTTGGATAGAGCTGGGTCTGGTTTTACCTTCCCAGCAGCTGCACAGGTGATGTTCACAGCTCCAGATGCTTCACATCAGGACAACTCAGACCTGCCCAGAGGGATGGAGCCTGAGCCCAGGATGTTATTCCAAGGCTACCTTTCCCAGTGCCCTGACAATCCCGGGCCACTGAAAGGCAGGGATGTGGTGTCAGTGCTGCTGGAAACCCGCAGACATTTCTGTCAGTTCTGCACTTTGATCCTTTGTGCTCTCAGATTCCCACTTGGAGGCTCATTCCAGCATGAGGAAGAGCAAAAAACTGCTCCTTAAAGAAGAAAGGGTGAGGGAAGATAAAGAACCTCAAAGCAGAAGCCATTGCTTGAGATCTGGAGAGGAACATGAAACTCCGAGGCGGAATCTGCTCTTAAAACCTCCGAAGGCTTTCCAGGGAGAACACATTTATCTCCTGGACAATGGGGCTCCACAATTTCCCACCTCAGGCCAGAGAAATATCCAGCAAAAGCCACGGGCTCGAACAGGCAGACTTGTTGCTTGATGGTTTCAGATCTCCCCGTGGGACCAGCAGGAAAACAGGGGCTATTATAAGATCTCTAACACTGAAAGTTTCGTGTCACCTCAGGAAACTTTTTCAAACACTTTGTGCCCTCAAAGGGGATCTGGAAGTTCAGTGGGAGTTTGGAGATGACGCATTAGGAACTGGCCTCAAAGCCTTTTCTCTGTCAGTGGTTTTTAAGATGAATCCAAAGCCCGTAATGAATTCCTGTCTGTGCACTGCAGTTGGAGGGAATAAGGGAATGAACCCGATAACTAATCAAAGGCCCTGTGGGGGTTTGGAAGGACACCACGAGCACGACTACAAAGCTTTTTGTGTCTCTCTGATCATCCCTGGGTTTGAATTGCTGCAAGAGTCACAAAGCTGTCCCTTGGCTGAGCACGAGGTGCCACCAGAGCAGACCCACAGACTGCTCTGTCCCTCACCTACTGCTGCAGGAGCCAGGTGTTTCTGGGGCAGCCTTTTCCTCAGGAATTTCTTCCTGGAAGGGTGGTCAGGCAGTGGAAGGGGCAGGGCTAGATGGGATATTGGGAAGGAATTCCTGGCTGGGAGGGTGGGGAGGCCCTGGAATAGAATTCCCAGAGAAGCTGTGGCTGCCCCTGGATTCCTGGAAGTGTCCAAGGCCAGGTTGGAGCAACCTGGGCTAGTGGAAGGTGTCCCTGCCCATGGCAGGAGTGGTACTGGATGGGCTTTGAGGTCCCTTCCAACCCAAACCAGTCTGGAATTCTATGATTCTTTCCCTGACTGCTTGACTTGATTCCTCCCACTGACACCAATACAAACCATGTCAGTGCAAAGCTGGGGATACAGAGGAAAATAAGATTTCCCAAATCTGAGCACTGATTTGATTGAATAAATTGGTGTCTCTTTGACTTATTGAACCAACTTCTGAGAACCAGCTTGTTCTGGGAATGGACCAGTGGCCCAGTGGCACTGAGCTGATGGAGCAGGGGGCAAATCCAGCGTTGGACTGAGCTCCCAGCTGGTGTGATCCCTGTGGATACTCCAGGGGAAGCTGGTCTTATTTCTTCAGTGATATATAACCAATTCTACCCCTTTTGTAACTATGAGCCTGCTTCTTCTTCCTTGCAAATTTACAGTTCTCTAGAATTATAATAAAATTCACAGTCTTACATATACATATAAAATACAGCCTTCCCAGTGCACTACCCAGGTGTCAGGTGGTTGCTGCATAAATGAATTTAAAAAGCATTTAATGAGCCACTTGTATATAGAATTTGAACCAGAGAAAACCAGCAGAACTGGAGGTTTGGATCCCAATGAGCCCCACGCTCTGTGAGCAGGGCACACACCGTGCTGCTCGCCCAGACCTGCTCCTAAAACACAGCTCACCTGCAATCTGCATTTATAGCTCATCACTTCTGTAAAATGGGGTCAGATACTCATTTGATCAGTGGCATCTGAATTTCCCAGGGACGCAGCTCCTTCGTTTCTCAGTGTTTATGGACTTTGCAGGGGTAACAGGTGGGAAGCGCTGCAGCGATTCCCAACCGGCCCCGAGTGACCCCTCGTTGAAATCCGAGCGGGGATTGGAAATGTCAGGGTGGCTTTGTGCTACAAGTGACATTTGGAATGACTGAGGCCATCACCACATTTCTGCCTTGGGCAAGTCAGGGTGAACTTTCCATCCGTGGAGCCAAACCAGCCTGAGCCCTGCCGGGAGAGCCGGGTGGGCACGGCACCAGCACCGGGAACAGGGAGAGGGGGAGCCAGGCTGGAGCAGTCCTGGAGCATCCTGCTCCAGGGGGAGGTGTCCCTGCAACTTGGGAATCAGGTGATGATGGGTGAGATGTACACGTGGACATCAGGAGGGGACTGAATTATCACGGAATCACAGGGTGGGTTGGGTTGGAAGGGACCTTCAAGCCCCTCCAGTTCCAGCCCCTGCCATGGGCGGGACACCTTCCACTGGCCCAGGGTGAGTGTTCAGCCTGTGAAAGGGAACGGTGGAAAAGCAGCAGTTTGGTTGAATGCTGGGAAGAGACAAACGATTTGTCCCTGCTTTGTTCCCAGGAGAGGATGGACAGTCCTGGATCAGCCCCTCGGTGCCGACAGTGGAGATCAGAGCAATGAACACCTGGGCACTGCTGGAGCAGCAGGGAAACCTCTCCTGGAGGATGTGGAGGTGAGCATGTCACCAAGGGACAGGATTTAAAGAAAACCTGGCAGTAAAATGTCACTGGTAAGTCCAAACCAGCATCAAATTCCACGGATTGTATTCACAGAGGGAGGCACGGACAATAACAGTGGGAATGGTGGCCTGGAGTTGGTTTGGGCTGGAGCAGCCCCAGGTGTTGGGGAGTTCCCCTCCCTGTGCCCAGTGCATGGCCTGCAAGTCTCCAGAAGGGGGGGATTTTGTGTCTACTTTCTTTCTGAAAGAAGTTTAATTAATCACTGACTCATCCTTTAATTAGAGATGCTGTTGCCATTGTCTGGGCTGCTCCTGGCTCTGCCTGAGGAATTATCCCTGTGTACACTCCCTGCCTTTAAACCATTATTAATGGCAGGATTTACACACCTCTCTCAATAACCCACTGCTTCTCAATCCTTTCACTCTCTGGACTTTGAAGGTTTGGCTCTGCTGAGCAGCCTAATAAAGGGGCACAGGGAGATGGAACTCACTCATTAATAATTTGTGATGGGCTCTGCTCAGCAGCCGAACACCAAGCTCTACAGAGAAGTTGTGAGGCAGAATCCAAGCTGGCATTTGATTTAATCAGGAGCTGGGATGCTCCAGGGCATCCTGTGGAGAGACAAAACCCAGGTGCTCCTGTCTGCAGGTGGGGTTGGGAAATACCCCCGTGAGACCCCAACTCCCTGCGAGCCCTCAGCGACACTGGGGATGGGGTGGTAGTGGGTTACAGCTGGTTGGCAATATTGGGAGTTGCTTTCCTGATCCAGAAATCACATGGGTGGCCTTCTGTAGTCTGGCTAAAAAAACCTGGCTACCAGGGCCTGGGATCCAGTGGCATTAGAGCTGCTCAGGGAGAGGGGATTGGGAAGGGATGTGGGGCTTCAGCTGGGCTTGGGAGACTGGGAGAGGCCATGGACAGAGGAATGGCTTCCCACTGCCAGAGGGCAGGGAGAGATGGGATATTGGGAAGGAATTCCTGGCTGGGAGGGTGGGGAGGCCCTGGCCCAGGTTGCCCAGAGAAGCTGTGGCTGCTCCTGGATCCCTGGAAGTGTCCAAGGCCAGGTTGGAGCAACCTGGGCTAGTGGAACGTGTCCCTGCCCAGGGCAGGGGGTGGAATAAGATGGTTTTTAAGGTCCCTCCCAACCCAAACCATTCCAGGACTCCATGATTCTGTCTATCATGTTCCTTGATAGACTTCTCTGTTTAATAGTAAAAAGTTTTGCATTGTTGTAATTAGTGGCCCAAACTCATGTTTCAGAGTGAATCATTTAAGAGTTGACTCTAACAAGTGTTTGCCTTCAGAATCTCATCTCAGCTGCCAGCTCTGGCTCCTCCATTCCCCAGCAGGATAATGACCCCAGAATTAACAACCCTCCTGTTTGTGCAGTCCAGTCACTCACTCCCAGGCAATTACTCTCCACTGTGGATTCAGGAGGAGAAGAATACAAATGGAATGTGTGACCTGAAGGGCAGAGGGGAAGGAGTGTGTTTGTTTTATGTTAAAAGCAAAGAGCTCCCAGTCCTCCTGGCAGCTGTGCCTGGAGAGGACGTGCATCCCAACAGGACCATCCTGGCCTGGCAGCTCTCCCCCAGTCCTGCTCTGTCTGTTCTCTGGAAATCCTGGGCTGCCTGGAGCATGTCCTGTTGCTGGAATTAAACTTTATTCAGATATTGGGAAGGAATTCTTGGCTGGGAGGGTGGGGAGGGCCCTGGAATAGAATTCCCAGAGAAGCTGTGGCTGCCCCTGGATCCCTGGAAGTGTCCAAGGCCAGGTTGGAGCAACCTGGGCTGGTGGAAGGTGTCCCTGCCCATGGCAGGGGTGGCACTGGATGGGCTTTGAGGTCCCTTCCCACCCAAACCATCCTGGGATTCCATGAGTGCACACAACCCACATTTTGCAAGGTTTCATTGTGTTAATGAGCACTGAGATAATTGGTTTGGATTTTCAATGCCCAGTGTAAATCCCCAGGGATTCTGGCAGGGGGTTTTGTGCCAGCCTCCCACAGGCCCCGGGGGCAGCAGGGGCAGCCATGATCCCTGGGGTGGGGTGTTGTGACCTGGGCTCTTTCACAGGAAGGAATTTTGGGAAGTGCTGATGGCCTGGGGCACATGGAGAGGTGCAGTCCCCACGGATCAGTCTGCTCTGTGCTGACCAAACCAAGGTCTGAGCTCTGCTCCAAGGGCTTGTTCTTCCCTTTAGACACCTGGAAAAGGGGCTGGAGGCTGTATCTGCCTCATTCCTGGCTTTGTCCCAGCCATGGGAGCTGCCTGTGCTTGGCAGAGATGGCACAGGGATGTGAGTGCACAGCAGGGAGCTCTTTAATATTCCCAAATCCATTAGCATAACGCCTTAGGATTCCTGTCAGCTTCCTGTGGAAAGGCCCAGAAACTGCAGCAGGGCCAGGACACTGCTTTTCCTCTGTCTTAACAGAATCCCAGACTGGTTTGGGTGGGAAGGGACCTCAAAGCCCATCCAGCCCCACCCCTGCCATGGGCAGGGACACCTTCCACTGTCCCAGGTTGCTCCAAGCTGGCCTTGGACACTTCCAGGGATCCAGGGGCAGCCACAGCTTCTCTGGGCAACCTGTGCCCACCTTCACAGGAAAAATGTGTTTTCTTGTGTTCAGACAGAATTTTGTAGTGTTTAATTTGTGCCTCTGTCCTGTCAGTGCTGAGAGAATCCTGGTTCCATCCCCATCATTCCCTCCCCTCAGGGATTCATCCACATGGATAAGATCCTCCCCTATTAAAATGAAATTGTGGCTTGCAGAGTACACTGTCCTGGGGCAGGGAGTTCTGTAATGAACTGCAGAGCCACAGTGACACAGAGTGCTCCCTCTGCTTCAAAAACCCACCACGTACAACACTTTTTTGGGGGATTTTTCTCTTTCTGCCAGAAATGTCTTTGATGGTGAGGCTGAGCCAGGAAAGGTTCATGTGCTGGGGCGACAGGGCAGGGCGGGGGAGGAGATGAACAGGGACTAAAAATGGTGAACAATCCTGAAAAATCACTTTTTTAATTGTCAAACCCGAGGTACATCCTTTTTCTTGTTCGTGGCAAGAGGAAGATGAGCCCTTAAATTTTGCAGGGTTGTGCTTCGGGCACATCAGGGACAATTTTGCTGCTCATGTGTGTCCTGCACTGAAGGTCATCAGAACAATTCTCTGTTTGATCCTCCTGCTGCTGGAACAGGGAGGTGTCCAGGCTGGGCTGAACTCTGTGCTTACAGCAGAGTCCAGCACAAGCAGGAAAATTTCAGTTCTCCAGGAATAAGAGAACAGCTGGGGAGGGCACAGCTCTAACTGGTGGTCTGAGAAAAACCAGGAATTTTGCTTTTGTCCTTGTGGAAAGGACTGACTGGTTGATAAGTGTCAGGGGAAGAAATCTGTTGTCAAATCACCTGCAGGGGGTAAAAGGAACGGAACACGGATCCTCTGAAGCTGTGGGGTGGATCTGCCACTCTCTGGGATTGCTGGGGAAGTCTGGGAAGTGAAATATGGACATTGCCTCCCCTGGGCACAGAGGGAGGGGTGGGAAGGGGGTGTGATGCTCTGAACAGATCAGAGGGATTCCAGGATACAATGGGACAAGGTACCACACTCTGGCAGTGGGAAGCCATTCCCTGTGTCCTGTCCCTCCATCCCTTGTCCCCAGTCCCTCTCCAACTCTCCTGGAGCCCCTTTAGGCCCTGCAAGGGGCTCTCAGGTCTCCCTGGAGCCTTCTCTTCTCCAGGTGAACCCCCCCAGCTCTCCCAGCCTGGCTCCAGAGCAGAGGGGCTCCACCCTTGGAGCATCTCCATGGCCTCTGGACTCGCTCCAGCAGCTCCAATTTTCCTCCCTGCTGGGTTTAAGGCACCGGTGGAATTGTGAGGGGAGCGAATGAAGGGAGAACAGATGTTGTGTTATCTTAGCTGGGAGTTACTGAACCCACTGAACCAGTGTCTGTGCATTTGTGTGCAGGGAGGCCAGTCCAGGGTTTAATGAGGGAATGAGTTTCTGGCTGAGGACTCAGGAGTCACCTGAGCTTGTGGGCACTGTGTCCGCAGGTTTATTCCATAACTTCAGGGGAGCTCCAGGTTTCTGACCCTGTAGGTCTGTTCTGTTACTCACTAGGGAAGGACAAGGACCTGATCCTGACTGAGCAGTGCCACTGGAATAGCTAAATCCAGTCTCCCTGTGGTGCTGAGGAGCCTGTCTGACTCCACAAGGGAATTCTGTTCAAAAACAGGGACTCTATTTACTGGAGCTGCTTCATCTCAGCTCTGTGTCACTCCTCAGCAGTGACCCTGACACAGGTCCATTGCCCTGCACCCCGGGAGGCTTTTGGGGGTAAAACACAGCCTCCTGTCCCCTCTCCCTTCCCACTTTACCCCCAGTGCCATCTCAATCCCAGGCATTTGGGGAGCCCCCCTGGGAGCTGCCCTCTCCCAGGACCATCAGCCCCACTCCACTCCTGCCTCTGCTTCACGCAGGAAAAGGATTCTTTTTGTAGGAGTGGGGCTCTTTTCCCTGCACAGCACTTTGACCAGGGATGCTCCTGCAATCCATCCTCCCCTGTCCTGCACTGCTTTGGGCCCTGCCTGTGCAGGAGCAGCTCCCAAATGGCTCCAGGTTTGTTCAGGACTGTTCATTTCCCACAGAGCAAACACATCTTTGGGCTGCAGCTGCACTTGGTGTAGAATAAAGGCAGTGTTGCCTGGAATCATAAATCTCTGTGAGACAGAGCAGAGGCACAAAAGGTGTTTGAGTGCTTTGCTCTGGGTGTCAGTGATGGAGAGGTCTTGGCTTCCTTTGCCACCTCTCTCAGGGCAGAAGAGTCTTCCCTGTTTTCCTCCCAGACAGAGTGTAAGACATTGCCTGCTGCAAACCACCAGTGGCTTTGAGCTGGAGGAGGGCAGGGATAGGTGGGATATTGGGAAGAAATCCTTCCCTGGGAGGGTGGGGAGGCCCTGGCACAGGTTGCCCAGAGAAGCTGTGGCTGCCCCTGGATC